CCCCAAAACCCCAAAACCCCATATATTAACATCAATCATTTTAATAGAATTAGTATGCTAATAAAAATATTTAGATCATTCATCTTTACTAGTATATTTCAAAAACATGCTAATAGAAGAACAAATAATAATAATTCCTGCACCAGCGATCTATTAAAAAGAAAAGGAATATCCAAATATTAAAACATCAATCAAGAATGTAATCAACAGTTATATAAAACTCACAGAAGCTATTCTGCTTACTTTATCGTACTAAAGAGCTTAAATTGGTAATTGATTTGCTAAATTTGCAAATACTGCTGTAATAAGAATTAAAGTAATTTGCTATCCATCGAAATTGTATTGAAGTTCAGGGTTTTAAAGTTTTCTTCCGAAATACCAAACAATAGTTGAAAAAATCGAAAGACTTACACCATATATGCCGTTAGTAACTGTGTAATGAACATCCCTAAGCTTTCTCAAAATTATGTAGATGCATGAACCAACTAAAGCTTAAGAAATTACTAAAATAACGCTGAAAACATAAGTTTTGGCATCAAAATTTAAGGCTTTTTTATCTAAATTTTAAAGGATTTGAGGTTTTTAGAAGCATATTATCAAAAGTACACCACCAAAGCAAGTGAACATATTTATGATTTCTGAGAGCTTTAGGGTTTCCTTTAATACTAAGTATCCCAGAAAAAGAGAGAAGAATGGTCCAGTAAATGCAATACTAGTCGTCACACCAAGTGCTAAATACTAAAGAGCATACCAATAGGCATACATACTTAAAATATTAACGATAGTCCTTGTTGCTATCAATATCTTCTACTCTTGATCCAAAATTGGTCTTTGAACTTTGAGTAACTTGTATTGCAAAATTTACAGCAATGCCTGTGAATAGCCACGGACCATAAGTAATTCGTAAGTCGTAAATGCAGGATTCAATTACTGTAACCTCTTAAAAACTACCATTGTAATGCAAAAGCTGCAAATAGACCCAATCTAAAGAAGCATTCCAATTAATGGTCTTATTTTATCTCTACATGTTTGAGGTTTTGGGACTTATGATATTTACTCCTTATTGTAATTAAATTAATCCTCATATTCAGGTTAGATTTAGCTAATTCCTTAATAATCTTTCAGTTCAGCTTTATAATTGATGCTTGTATCAGTTTACTCTAAAATATCTAAATTATTTAGCTCAATCTCACTAAATTTTTTGCAATCTGGTTTTATAATTTTTGTTTTCATTTTATTTTATTATTTATTAAGAGTTTCTATCTAAGAAATTTATAATTGATTATCTTATACAAAAGTTTAAATTTTTATTTATATTATCTGATTACTATAACACTTTATAAGCTTTTCGGGGTTTTGGGGTTTTGGGG